ACTTTTTCCTCCAAAAATGCGTGTCGGGGGACAGGTGATGTCAGACTTTGCGAGTCGCGCGATTCGCTACTAGCGATTCGCTAGCGTCTGCGGTCGCGTTGCGGTACTAGCCAATTGGGCGATTCACTGGCCGCGACGCGACCGCAGACGCTAGCGCGATTCGCAAAGTCTGACATCGGCCATATATACTTAAGCGGTGATATCTCGAAACTCCCTATCAATTTCCAACATTTTCAACGCCATTTCTTACCTATTCTCATAATCCTTTTATAGTAGAGGGGTCTATACGCCGCGCTGGACTAAATTTGTTGTCCTGCGCGCCCTCCATAGCTCAGCCTACTACCACAACAATCTAGTTTCCCTATTTCAAGATATTTGAGCGACTAAAGGGATACGCCCCCCTCCTACACTCAAACAGGTACCCCCGTTGTACTCGTAAAGACGGAGCGTTGACCTGCCAACGTCTTCTTGTTTAGGTCATCTTTCCACGTGAGGTGCTTTGCTCGCTCGACGAGTAGAGCCTACAGCTGTAGCGACCGTCCCGAGGGCTGATGCTCCGCTGACAAGCGGGCGATCGTTTGTACGTAATTCATTTTAATGCCGTGTGTATCCTGCTTGATTTAATACAGTATATTAAAGTCAATGGGTTGTTGAAAGAAAATAGAAGAGCCGCGACCCACATTGGTCTGGGAGGTTTCGCTTTTCTGCACCATGATGATCTAACAACATTACGCACTGGCCAACACAGATAAATGTTACCAGTATCCTGAACAGAAGCAGAAAGCGTGGCGCAAAAAGTAAGCGGTAAGTACTATTTGATTTATAAGCTCGACTATGTTTCGATCACATAAAAAAGTTCGAACTTTTGAAGCGGTTACCACAGCAGAATAGGTGCAGAGTCAAACTACACAGAGACCACTTCAAGATTTTCTAAGCATTTTGTTGATAGTGATTCGCTGTCAGTTTCAAAAAAATTCGGTAGCAGTCGTTTTGGGGATGCGCCATGCACTCTTCATAGGGTGCAGTTCTCTGACAGAAAGCGACTTTTCGCGTTTCGCAGCGCGAAACATTTTTCGCTGCGGGAACCTCAGGTCCACCGCTGATCATGAGTGGACCTGGGGTTCCGCAGCGAAAAAAATTTCGCGCTGCGAAACGCGGCAAGTCGCTTTCTGTCTAGCGAATCGCACCACTCTACATGCACATAAATTTACAGTGACACTTGCGATCTCTAAAGTAGTGCTTGACAGGTAGAAATTGATTGGTTAATAGTTCAACATTTTCATCACAAAAAGTACTAACTATAACATAAGCTTAATCCCTAACTAACCTCTCAAGCAGCTGTCACCTAATATATTAGCATTTCGAATCAAAGCTATCAAAATATCTTTTATTCAAACACAAATAGGCTTTCAAAAGTTTTCAAGGCAAGGAAAAAACTTAGCGATGCTGACTGAAGTTCGCTTATCAGGGTAATAAAAAGCTTGCCACCAGAGGTTGGCTCGGTAGCCAGCCTTTATTACCCTGATAAGCGAATCTAAGTTCTTTGGACAGCCTGATAAGACAAGAATGGCCTAAGAGATCATTGCGAGCAAGTTTCCGAGACTCAAAGTGCCCTCAGCAGGCCATTGTTTTCCGAGGTTGAAGGTAGTATATAGCATGTAATCAGGGCGTAATAAAGCCATGGAAGTCATTGTGTGTGTTGAGAGGTCGATGCTGAACAGTTGCCAAAATAAACGAGACCTGATGCAGATCCTGTTTGATCCAAAGCAAGGAATCGAACCAGCAATATAGAGACACAAATTGGCGCCTATGTGATCTACACCTTGGGCGACAGGCGCCAACATCTGTATGGTCTTTGTTGAAATCATTGTTTCAAGGAATATCATATCACATCCATCAGACCAACTCCTAAAAGCGAATTATTTGATGTGGCACAGTACTTCTAACTAAGAAGTTGAGCTGAATAGCTTGGAAATTTGAATTTTTCAGGAAAAAAACTAAAGCGTGATTTATGCTGGATGAAGAAGGGCAGCGAGGACAAACTCTGAAAACATTTTCGCCATTGCGACCTCACATTATGAGAGACTTATAAGTTCGGATGCGTAATGAAAAGTAGCATATGATCAGTAAATCAAATTCCTGCTAGTCCTGCCAAGTATTTGACTTCTACAGTTTTACAGAGAAGTATCGACTCTCAAAAACTAAACGCAGGCATAAAATTACTCCTATAACCAACAGTTGGTCCCGTGTCACCTATTGGCTTAATTTCCACTCCACTACGCCACTACGAATCAGAGGAAAATGGAATGCGTGGCGCAACTGGCAAACTGCCCAAGCGTAGCGCTTTTTGATTTAGTGCTCATTTATTGCGCTAATGGGCGGAAGTGGTGTAGTGGCAAGTGGCACGCGAGCGGTCCGGGGATCAAATCCTGGGTCGTGAGTCGCCCGGGCCAACCAAGCCTTCCATCCCTCCGGGGTCGGTTAATTGGTACCAGACTTGTCTGGGAGGATAAAAACACTGACTTGTACATCGGCTGGCCCCCGCAAGTCATTGTATAGGCCACATCGCATTCAAACGCCACTACGAATGTACAAATGGAAGTAGAATGCGTGCCGCATCCCAAAAAGGGATTGATCAACGGCAAATGCTTTATCCTTTATCTATTATTTAGTGCTTAATTTTTATTTAGGGTTTGTGCGAGTTATAAAAATTATGCGACAGTCTCGTTAAAAAAGCAACGATAAGCAAGCGGTAAGTGTTAACTTGATTGTTTTTCAGTAGATGTACAGTTTGCACCTGTCAATGGACGTTTCGCACCCATCAATATTAAATATTACAACGCTGAAAAAGAAAAAGTAATTTGGACGCAACAACGAGCGAGCAGACTGAACTAGTTTTGAGCCTAAACACCCGAGAACCTCAAATTAACGCTAATTGATCCTCCGCTGACGGCTTAATCTACTCTAACCCCCCCCGCCCCCCCCCATCGACTCTCATTCCTAATGATGTTATATAGCATTCGAAGGATACTGCAGAAGAATGTGTACGGTCTGAGTCGTTTTGATCATATTTTCCCTTGTATCGATAGATGGAAGACAGTACTGCCTTGCGGGTGCCTTACCGCCCCAAGGATCAAATCTGGATCATACCCTTCCATTCAGCAAACGTTTCCTGTCCCACCAGGTCGGTAATCGTAGCAGGTCTCGAGAGAAAACGCTGATTCGCCCATTCTATTCGCGGATATAACAAGACTCGACCGCGACCACAACACAATGACGCGCGAGAAACTGGTTTCCCTCTTTTTTCGTATTCGTACGAACTTGTGGAGTTATCTGCACTGACCTCTCCGTATTTCCCAGCGAAGTAGAGAGCATTCTTCCGGCCTGCAAATATTTATAGGCAAGTCTCATTTAAAAGTCCTGTCGCTGATATCTGACGGGAAACGAATTCGGCGCATCCTAAAAGAAAATAATCCGTCCATATATGCTCTACAACTGCGTCTTTGAAACCATGACCTACTGACAACAGCCTAGTAAAATCGGTACAGGCGACCTGACAAGCACCGGACCAAGAAAATGCTCACAAAAACTTGGTTCTTGTTTAAAAGTAAGGTCGGGTCTCTGTTATGCGGGTTACATCGTCTTCTCTGAGCACAACCTGCACAATATTGTCTCATCGCCTGAATCAACCTTTTAGTGAGCCCCAATTCTACTGGGCAAACGATCAAATGTGGTCTCAAACCTTGCTCTAACAACGGCAAGACAATATGTGGCTTTATCGGTGAAGAAAAATATGATTTTTCAATAATTTGTTATCAGTTCATTTTATTACATATGAAATTATACTTGTTTCCCTAATCAAACCACTGAACCGCCTGCAGTCCTCAGCCCCCTTGTCCCCTTTTTGAAGAGTCCGACTTCCACTTTCGCAAAACGGCCGTTCTCATAGAAACCAGTCCCACGACCACGCACTGTATCCACAAATGATTCATACGCAATCATTATCTAATCAATACTTCGATCAATAATGTCATAAATTTAAAAACACGCTCAGCATAAAACCAAACATGAGCCGGGGAACGTGATGATGCCAACGTAATTCGAAGAAACGAGCTAAACCTGGGATTACAGTAAAGGCAAAAAATGGACGGGCGATACGGTGTGCTCGGCTTAGCGACTAATGGTATCCCGGCTGCCGTCTGCGTTGCATCTCCGTTTATTTCCCACTTGAATCGATATGAACGTCGTTGTTTGGCATGAGGCCAGCGGTTTTCGACCACGCCGACCTTCCGAGGTCAGCTCCACACGTGAGGGGACAGCTGATGAACCCGAACATCTGCTGATCTCTGCTACTACGTTGATAGAACACCAATGTTTATTTCAAATCAGACTATTGTATATAAAGCGATGGTTTGTTACATGATGAGCAAATGATTAAAATACAAGGGTAATCACCGAGTTTAGAATAGCTACAGGTTAGGCAAGTAATAGCTAGTAATTACTTCCATGTAACATATCTGCAATCTTAACACTGAGTAAGGAACAACCGACAAAAACCACAAAAAGTATGCCCACAATGGACAGCCCTTGAAAGGCTCTTGGTCCACTGCTTCATACTTTTCCGTAGTCGTTGACAACACTCTTGGACCCCACTTCAGAACCTAGTGATCAAGGCTACAATCATGACTAATGAAATAAAACTTAAGCTCACGGTTAAACGTGTAAAATTCTTATCTATCATACAGGCAGAGAAAAAACTAATGAGGCATTAATGTTAAAAGAGGCGGGGTTTCAGGTGGTTCCGAATCAGGACGACAGCGCTCAGTGAGTTTAGCCAACGTCCGTCACAAAGCAGAACACCATCCACCCCTACGGGTTCCTTTATCAGACCGTATCATATCAACCAAATGTAACCACACATGGACACAATCTTATAACAGTGCAATTACATCAAAGTATCACTTATGAACGATCTGACGAAAGGAACCGAATTTAACCTCAGCAACCCGATGCTTTCAGTTCTTCGCCACCCGGCACCTTCACTTGAAATAGCGTTGTGAAGCACTGAAACCAAGCGTATTTAAACAAAAAAGATACCAAAAATTAAGGCGCGAAACAAATTCTCACTAACAAACCTCAGCAACAGTCGGATGAATACCGATTAGGCGATCGAAATCTGCTTTTGTTCCTCCTAACTTCAAAGCAATTCCGAAACCTTGAGTAATTTCACCAGCATTCGGTGCCAGTATATGAAAGCCAATTACCCGCTCCTAAATAATGTTCAAATCATTCAAAATTTTGAAAGACGGCAAAAATCATTTGATTTGAGAAAAAATGCGTCGTTTTTCTAGAGCATAAGAAAGAATTGGTGCCCTTTCCATAATTTATAATTCAACCGATTAGCGTGATTTATTTAGGCTCATCAATGGGATTTGCATCTTCGTCTATGAGGATTCTCATCTCTTGGCTTCCTTTTGAGACGACGTTCTACCTGCGTCCAACTCCTACGACAAGAGGCCAAGCAGACTCAAAAAAATGAAGAGTTCTTTCATATTATCAACAGGAGCAACAAGTGAACAGTATTGAACCAGGCACCATAAGGCGGTTTACGAATGTATTGGGATTCTAAGTTGGATGCAAAATATGATGAATTCAATTCCAGAACGCCATCAGCGGATTGTCTATGCGGCGTGTGAGGCCTACCATGCATATAAAAAATAATGCAAGCATGCAACTTTGGCGTTGAAAACTGAGTGTTGAGAAATCGCAAGTAGAGAAGATGAAATATCGTTAACGACTAAATTGCATATGAAACGCGTAGAACTCACATTTTCAGACGCTAAGCAAATTAGTTTACAATAGCAATA